TATATATATATATATATATATATATATATATATATATATATAAAATAGCAATCAGTCATTATATAAATTATATATAAATATATAATAAATTAATAAATGATAGTTATTAACATTAAATCATAAACATATATAATTAAATCAAACTGTCATATTACTATTATATTTATAATATATTTATAAGTATTTTATGTATAATTATTTTTTGGATTTCTATTATTACACATATACTAATCTCTTAATATAGATGAGACTTTTCATATATACTAATTATGTATACTAATTATGTTTTTATAGTATATTCTAATTATATAATTATAAAAATAAATATAATACATGTATTTTAAAAAATATAGTAATGATTTTGAATGTTATTAATTTAAACTTTATAAAAACTTATATTAATTTTTTTTTTAATGATTTGAAATATTATTCCTTTCATGGAATTATAAATAATTATAATTTTTTATTCAAAAATTCAAGAATTTATTGAAATAATATGATATAGATCTTTCTCAATTAATTATTTTTATATAATTATTAACAAGTAGTTTGGATTATATTTTATAGAAAGAAGATGTAGAATCTGAAGATGATGCAAAGCTGGAAGTTGAAGAATTGGCTAAAACTTTACCACAAGGAACAGATCATACTCCACATATTTTGGATTCAATTCTTTCAGGCTTATCTGATCGGTATAATTTTTGAAAATAATATTTATAAAAAATATAACAAGTATTAAAAATAATAAACTAAATAATAAATAATAATAAGTTTAAGTAATTAAAAATAATTTTTATAGCTGGAAAAATTGGGTAATTAGAAGTATTTTTACCTTGTTTATGATTGCTGGTTTTTGTGGTATTATTTATATTGGACCATTAGCTTTGATGGCTACGGTAAGTTTTACATATAAATATTATAAATATATATTTAATTATAAAAGTAATTTTTTTTTATTTGTTTTATGGAATATTTTTTTCAGACATTGATTGTACAAGTAAAGTGTTTTCAAGAAATCATTAATATTGGATATGCAGTTTATAGAATTCATGGTTTACCATGGTTCAGATCTCTATCATGGTATTTCCTGATTACTTCCAATTATTTCTTTTATGGAGAAAATTTAATGGATTATTTTGCTGTAGTAATTAACCGTACAGTAAGTATAAGTATTTGAATAATTTTGATCTGTAATAAAATTAATTAATTAATATAATATTTTTAATTAATGTTTTATGTTAAAATATATTTTATATCAGAGTATAATTATATTTAATTAAAAATTATATATACATAAATTATATATACATTATTAATTTATTTATTGATATGAAATCAATAAATAAAGCTTCTTAAAACATTATATATCCTTTATATGGTTTCTAATTCTCTTTTATAAGGTTTCCTATTTAAGTTTTAATTTTAAATTAATTATGTAAGAAATTTATATCAAACTAATGTGATTTTATATTTGCTTATATATATATACAAATACAATATTTTATTATTTATTATTTATTATATTGTATTTCTATATAATATTTATAATCTGATATATATATATGTGTAAAATTAATTTTATATTTTTTCATATTAAAAATTAATAATTTTTTTTTTTATTTACAGGAATATCTACGTGTACTTGTTACATATCATCGTTTTATTTCATTTTGTCTATACATTGTTGGTTTTGTATGGTTTGTACTGTCACTTGTAAAAAAATATTATATGAAACAATTTTCTCTATTTGCTTGGACTCATGTTGCTTTACTTATTGTTGTGACACAAAGTTATCTTATAATTAAAAATATTTTTGAAGGCTTGATATGGTAAATTTTTATATAAATTAATATCTTTCTCATACTTTATTTATTTTATGATAATATATATTTATCTGATATAGGTTCATTGTTCCAGTTAGTATGATAGTGATAAATGATGTAATGGCATATATGTTTGGTTTCTTTTTTGGTAAAACACCTTTAATTAAATTATCACCAAAAAAAACTTGGGAAGGTTTTATAGGTGGTGGTATTTCAACAGTTTTGCTTGGCTTATTGGTAAATTTATATTTGAATTTTTTTAAATTAAACATTATATATTATTCAATTTTTTAAAAATAAATATCTATATAAAATATTTTTCAGATTTCATATATTATGTGTCAGTATCGTTACTTTGTTTGTCCTATTGAATATAGTGAAACTTTGGGACGAATGACTATGGATTGTGAACCATCTATTTTATTTCAACCTCAAGAATATACTTTGCCTAATAGTTTACAAGTTGTATTTAAAATGGTAATTAATATTAAAATATCAAATAATAATCCTGAAATAATATAATACAAATATGTAAATCATTTAATAATTTTTTTGTACAGTTTAGTGGAAAATCGACCATAACTTTGTATCCATTTTTACTTCATTCATTATCAATGTCAGTATTTAGTTCTGTAATTGGACCATTTGGAGGTTTCTTTGCAAGTGGTTTTAAGAGAGCATTTAAAATTAAGGTAATTAAATTATTCACAAAAAAATTTCATAATCATTTTATTTCATATAATTAAAGGACTTTGGAGATGTTATTCCTGGTCATGGAGGAATAATGGATAGATTTGACTGTCAGTATTTAATGGCAACATTTGTAAATGTCTATATATCTTCATTTATTCAAACTGCTTCACCTCAAAAACTTTTGCAACAGGTAAATATAATAAGTTTTTTATCATTTATCATTTTATTTAATAATTCTATGGATAAATAATAGTATAATTAAAATTATTTAAAAATCATACTTGAATTATTATATTAATTGTAATTAATATTTTATATTATTTTTTGAATAGTTTAATTACATATTTATAATTAAATATAAATATATTTATAAAATTGGATATATAGTTAATTTATACATATATAGAGAATAGCTCACTAAATATTACCATTTTCATATATTGTAATATTACTAATTTTTTTAATATATGATTTTTTATAAATAGATACATAGAAAACATGAAACTCATTAATATTATTTTAAATGGAATCATATATTTTTTATTACATCAACTGATATAATTTAATATTCTTCAAAAAATTATTAATCTTGACCAAAAATCAATATAGGAGATATTTTACCTTGAAGTTTGTAAAATTTATTATATGAAAAACAAAAAGAACATCAATGGAATATTGTTTCATGTGTTATTTATCTTTCATAATAAATTTTAAGTTAAAATATCTTCATTTTATAAAAATATTTTATGATTTTGCAATAATTATGCAATAATTAATATGTATTAATTAATAATTATGCAATAAAATAATTTTACTATCGTAAAATAATTTTTTCGCATTATGTGTTCAGTTTATTTTTACAAAATAATAATAATATAAATACTATGAAATATTATTATATTTATAAATAAGATATTTCATAAGTACATTTAATCATATTTCTGCTTATCATATTAATTTCATTTTATATTAAATTATTAATATTAATATTGATTAAAATAATTAATGTTATAAAATATTTTTTATAATTATTTGAAGTAGAAGAATTTTTGCTGATTTTGATAATTTTTTTTTTTAATAAAACAACATTTAGAGCAACTTTTTGCTATACATATAATTGTTGATCAGTTATGCTTGTTTCATGCAATCATGTATATATAAAAGAAATTCTATATAATAGTAATAATTTTTTTTTACAAATATTTCAAAAATTAAAGGTAAATAATAATATGTAAAAAAATTGTTTGAAAATCTTGGTCCTTTATAATATATTCAAAAATCATCAAAATGTGAAAATGCTTCTATTCCAAATAATTATCAAATTAATACTTATAATTTTTATTTATTTATGTAATTTGGTTTATGTAAATCTACTTAAACTCATTCCAAATTAAAGAAATAAGATTTAATGTCAAAAATATTTTTGCTAATATATATATATATATAATCTTATCCAATTATATAAAATATTGATAATTTTAAAAAAAAATTGATATAAAAATATTTCTTGCAATATATTTTCACTTTTTAAAAAATATTTTTTTAAGTTATTACAATTGAGATAAATATATAATAACTATCTTTAAATGAATTATTCTATATATCATTTATATCATAGGTTTTTTAATTCTTAAAAAAATTTATTTATAATTATGCATACTATATATGAAATTATTTTACAGGTTTATAGCTTAAAACCAGAACAACAATTACAATTGTTTCAAACATTAAAGGATTCATTAGAAAATAGAGGTTTGTTAAATATTTATTGATGTTCTAATATTAATGATGATTATTAATAATCAATGGAATTACTTTAAAATAGCAGAAAGTGTTAGAAATATTATTTCTAACATTTATTTGAATGTGCAATGTACGTTTATACAATAGCATTAACAATATTAAATACAATATATATAAACAACAGTAATATTAATTATAAAATATACTAAATTATGATGATAAAGTTTATTTTATAACTAGAAATTAAGAAACATTAAACATTTGTAGTTTTTTTGCATTCCACACCAAACAGTCCATTTTTTACCAAAAATTTTTATTAAACTGTGATGATGATGAAAATTTAACTACATATTTTTTTTATAATAATTAAACCAAAGAATATCATGCATACATTATATTTTAAAAAATAATTTCCAGTTTGTTATAAATGTAATATTATAAATATTTGAAACATTTATCAAATATTTTTTTAATATTTTTCTTCAATAAATTATAAGATAATAATGGATTTATCAATTTTCAACAAACGAAAAAATTATCAAAAAAATTTTCATATAAACATTTATTCAAATTTAAATATATATTAAACCAATCAGAGATCTCAATATATTTATATATTTTTAAATTTTTATTATGCATTTAATTATTTTATTAATGTATTTAAATTGTTTTCATAAATATTATTTCATCTATACAATGTGAGATTATTTTGTGTTTATTACTTTAATTATTTGAATTTTCAAATGCATTATTTTTCATGTAAAAATATTTCTTTAAATTGTTACTGACTATATATGTATTAATCTGTTTATAATTAATATATATTGATTATTTGATAAATTATAATAAATTTTAATATTTTTATTGTAATCAGTGCCATGTTATCATTTGCATCTTGAAAAATATAAACATTTTCTAACACTTTTTAATATTAATTAAACATTTTCTTTGAAGAATATAATTCAAGGAAAAAATAATATATTATTATATTTTATTATCAGATTGTTTGACATTTTCATTATTGAATAATTATTAAATCATGGCACTGAACTTAAATAAAACTATTTTAATTATATTCAAAAATAAAAGATAAACAAAGAACTTTTGTTTATTTTTAATTTTATTGAAAATAAAAATTAAATGGAAATGTAATTGTTTTTCACAATAAATATTTTTTTATTACTTTTTCTTAAATACTTTTTTCATGTGAATAATAATATATAAATAGAATGTAATTATAAAATTTTGATTTAATTAAAATATACATATTTTATGTTTTTAAACAAAATATTATGTTTAAATTAAAATTATTTTATAATATAGTTAAAATTGTGCCAATTGTTCATAGAAATAAGTAATTTATATTTATACATGAAAAATATCAATATGGCACAACTAATAACATTGTAATATGATTACATTACATTTCCAAATAAAAGCTTATATTTTACATAATTAATTTACATATATTACATAATTTATATACTTTATAAAAAAAATTATACATTACTATTATATTACATTATATGTACCTAACTCTAATTAAATACTTATACTTTCTTTTATTGTTAAATGTTATTTATATATTGTTTCAATATTGAGAGATATAATGTTAAAGAAATCTATGTATAAAAAATAAAAGTAAACATAAATGCAAGTATATTTATTTAACAAAGAGCATAATAAGATAAATATATAGATGAAAAAAATTTTATGAAATAATAGATATATGTTATTGTAATTATAAATTCTTAATTAAAAATGACTTAAGTTTAAATATATAATATATTTATATAGTAATATATATATGAGAAAATAAACTTGAAAATGTTATTTATTGCATCTTATATTTTTTTATTAAATCCAATATTTGTATTAATTTTCAATATGATATATTTTTTTTACATATATAATATGCAGATCAAAATGATCATAATTTTCAATTCTTTTCTTATTAACTAAAATGTAAATAAAATTTTGCAAAACATTTTTTCACAAAAAAAATGAAAATTTATAATTTAATGCATTTAAATAAATTTAAATATGGAATAGTTGTGGAATAATCTAACAAAAAAAAATACGAAATATATAGATATGAAAGAAAATATATTAATTGTAATAATATGATCTAATTCTTAATATTAATTATACTAATTGAAGATCAAAATTATATTATATATTAGATTATATATTAGAGATATACATTATATATTTATAATAGAATTTTGATTATCAGAATTCTTATTAATAGAACAATTGATTGACAAAACTTTTATTAATAGAAAGTTCAATTATTTGAACACTGTCTAATTATAAAAATTATAAGAAATATCTCGTTCTATGAATTATTTCGATTACGCTTCTTTCTTCTTTTTTTCTCTAATATAATCTATAATCTTATTCTTCGTTTATTCTTTATAGATTTTTGAATTATTAAAATTTATAAATTACAATGATATTAATATTATTCATATACATATATTAAAATAAAAGCGTATCGTTTTATCATAAAATTTGAAATTATAAATATATATGGATTATAACATGATAACAAATTTATAATTAAATTAATTAATGATATATAATTTATAAATTAATTATTTGTAACATAAAATAAAAAGTGTACTGAAATTCATCAAATAAATATTATTTACCATCAAAAATTATCATCAAAATTCATCATTTATCATCAAAAAATATTATTAAATTTGGTTCAGAATTTATTTATTATTAATATCTATTATTTATTTATTATTAATATATTTCATAATAAATGATCTTTAATATAAATTCAATTTATTAATTGTTATATTTTGCTTCTGAAATCCTATTATATTTTTATAAATTAAATATTTAAATTATATATTTCATGGATGAAATATATAAAATTCAAAAGAATTTTAGAATAGGATCAATAGATATAAAATTTCAAATCCAAATATAAAATTTTAATTTTGGATATTTTTTAAATTTCGAAATATTAATGAAAATATATATTGTATTTTCTATATAGATATTATTGATGATGCATCATTTTTATTATAGAAATTGTCAAATATCTAAAAATATCTCGATATTTAAGATGTTCTATATTCAGTTTTCAATTGCTTTCATGAAAAATCATAAATATCTTCTAAAACTTCCTAAATATAGTAAAAATGTTTAAAATTTAAAATTTCCTTAAAAATATCGATAAGTATGAAAATATCGATATATGAATTCTGATTTTTCGATTATGTTTAGTTTCTATCAATGTTTTATAGTCAATGGTATTACGATAATAAAATAAATACGTATAAACACATATATTTATATTTATATATGTGTATGTATCTGTGTATATGATGTGTATGTATATATAAATATTCAATTGAATTTAAATTTCTAGTGTTTTATATGATTTAACATGTCTGATCATCACGTTGGAAAAGGTTATACACCATTACCGCAAAATATAAGTAATACTGATACTGAAGATGAAGAAGATTGTTTGGCACAACCAAATGAAATTCCAAAAGATCATATTGATGATACGCAATTGGTATAATGAAATTCATTTTTTTTTTCTACTAATAAATCAGAAATATAAATAAATGAAGAATAAAATTGATGAGAATCGATATATTTGGATATTTTTATCTTTATTAATATATTTTTAATAACTATAATTTTATTAATATAGAATAAAAAGATATACAATTATAGTTTTATATAGCATTACAAATTTTATAAATAATATAAAATATGAATTAAAAATTAAAAATATGTAATAAAAATTCACATAAAAATTGTAGCAATCAACTGTTATCCTTGAAAATGGAGTATATTATCCACTGGATGAAACACGGAATTTAGAAAATCGTACAAAAAATGGACAAAATATGTTGAAATATTATAGAGATGATATACCAATAATGATTGTTGAAGGCAATAATCAAAATGATTTATGGAAAAGACATGATATGTCTCTTTTATGACGATTGTGTTTGGTTGCTTCTATATTATTATGTGTCATAACAATAATTATATTTCTATATGTTTTACCATGTGACAATTCAATGGTATGTCCTTCAATAAATGATCCTCAGTCATCTATATCTTGGGATAAAACTTTACAAGGAATAGGTAAGTTGTATAGATAAACAATTTTTATATTAAATAAAGACCTCGTTTAATAATATTAAATTTAATTAAATTTTTATAAATTTATTATAAATACAATATTGTTTTAATTTTTTTAAAAGCTTTAGTTTATCAATAAAACAAGAGAAATTTTGAAAAATATATTTTTATTAATTTTAATCTGATATGAATAAAAAAAATCTTTAAAAAAATTTTTAATTTCTATTAAAACAAAGATAAATAATATTAAAACAATTCTTACACATATAATCTACAAATATAATCTAATCTATATTTAATTACATTTCATTGCATTTCCAGAACATATTGCTATTTATTTATTCATTGGCATTTTCAGTTTTTAGCTAATAGATACAGATTCATTAAAAGAACACATATTTGCAAATACATAAAATCTTTGAAATCATAAATCACATATAATTTTTTTTATTTTATAAAAATTAATATAAAATTTATAAAAATATGTCATTTTATTAAATTCTCTTAATTGAAATACATATTTAAAGTTCAATTTTAACATTTTTTTTTTCATTAATTTTTTAAAATTTTAATTAAAAAATTCTAATTAAAAATATATAATTAATACTTTATATAATTATATTATATAAGTAATATCATAAATACAAATTATATTTTTTTATTTATATAAATTATTTATATATAATGATATTTATATATAATTATTCAATTTAATTATTTTACATTATATTACATATAATGATATAAATTTTATTATCAATAATTGTATTTGATTACAAAATTTTA